GAAACAACCTCTGGGCTGATCTAAGTCAGGGCAAGTCTGACTCACAGATCGAATTTGAATATAGCGTGTTGAGTTTTGCGAAGAGATGAGAGGAGAGTATACTAATCACCATATGCGTACTAATCTTTCAGCATTTTTGAACAGCTTTTTGTAACTGTTTTTTTATTGTTTTCTATCGTAGGACTACAGTCCAGGAGCAAAAAAGGACGACAGTCAGCTGATAAATCATTGTCATCACTCTCTTCTCTATGCACAGGTAAGGACAAACACCTGAGACTAACCCACCATTGTAACGTTTGCATTGATTTTACTGCAGTTTTCTATATTCTGCAAACTCAGTAGTTGCAAGTTGCACGCTGAAATTTTGTTTTCGCGGCCGTCAATCAAAAATATTCAGTAGGTACCTTTAATGTTGTTGACTGGTGGCAGTGAAAAACCAATTTCACAACAAGTTGAAATGTCTGAGTTTGCAGAATAAGTGTTTTCTGTGCAGGATTGGACTGATGTAATCTGACTGCTTTAGCCCCATTCAGCTTGAGCATAATGTTTTCCCATTTCAGACCACGTGTCATTCCCTAGAGTATCATTTTCTTTGTTTAACGTTAGCACATGAGAAGACACATGAATATAAATGCAACTCAATCAAAGAAGCTTATCCTCAGGAGAATGACACGTGTAGTGAAATTGGAAGCATTATTTGGTGGGCTATAAATAGACCTATCCCGAATTCGTTTGGCTCGTCACGAAACAATGGTTCTAAGTCGAGGTTGGACTTGATCAATAAGAGAATCAAGTTCAGTCTCAACTTCAAACCATTGTTTCCTGGTCAGTCAAGCGAATTCGGGATAGGTCTATTGTGAAATGGGAAGATTATTTTCGCTTGCCTTCCTCAATTCATCTCCTCGTAACCGCAGACCACCAAGTAATGCAGGCGTGTATTGATCCCATGTTAACTTTTCTAGTGTCAGAAGGCTATAGTCAGTGGAGGACAACCATGTCAAGTAGATGATGCGGTGTACTTGTCGGCTTTACAGCTCTACATTGAGGTAGTAAGGGCCACTAATAGAGGTGTAGCGGTGAACCTTCGCTTTTCATCACTTTGGGACTTACGGGTTGGGTTGTGGCTTCGATTCCTGCGGTAGCCACATGTGAATCGAGTTTGTTTGATGTGTTGATCTCTCCCTTGCCACGAGAGCTTTTCTCCAGGTTCTCTGGTTTCCCTCCCTCCATATAAATATACTTGTTAATCCAGTTTGTTTGCTTTGTTTTTCTCTCCTATACCATGAGGGTTTCCCTCCAGGTTCTCTGGTTTTCCTCCCTCCATAAAAATCAACATATGAATCGAGTTTGTTTGCTGTGTTTTTCTCTCCTATACCATGAGGGTTTCCCTCCAGGTTCTCTGGTTTTCCTCCCTCCATAAAAATCAACATGTGAATCAAGTTTGTTTGATGTGTTGTTCTCTCCCTTGCCACAAGGGTTTTTCTCCAGGTTCTCTGGTTTTCCTCCCTCCATAAAAATCAAATGAATCGAGTTTGTTTGATTGTGAATCGAGTTTGTTCGATGTGTTGTTCTCTCCCTTTCCACAATGTTTTTTCTGGATACTCCAGTTTTCCTCTCTCTGTAAAAATCAGTCAACATGTGAGTTGAGAGTTGTGTGGTTATAACATTAAACGTAGTCGGTGGTAGCAGGGAGGTGGGAGGGTAGTAGTGTTAGTAGTGAGTGTGGAGTGTGTCGTATAAATAAACATTACCCTCTAACTAGGGAGACTCAGCAATGATCTCTCTTATCATTAAACAAAACAAACATTTATTTTAATACATTACCAATTCATGTGAACTCATTTACTTCAATGTTTCCTCAATGGTATGCCATTAACATGAAAATACAAAAAAATTACACTTTATCTCGATGGCATTTGTGGCATTTCGTTTGTGTTTCCATGTTAGCCTTGCATTCTAGATACTTTAGAGAAGGGTCCATTTTTGCCATTAGTACAGCTAGAAAAGTTATTAATCAAATTTTGTTGTTTCAGGACTTGTCGCCCATGGAACAGAGAGGAAGACAGTGGTTCTTCCAAGGGTCTAGTCCAGATAAGTAAGTCATTACAGCTATCACTACCATCATCTTTTTCATCTTCGTCAGTATTTTCATCATCTCATAGTTTTCGTATTTTCCCCCTGTTATTATGTAATATATACAGTATGAGTGGCCGTGTTGTATCCGATATAGAAGCTCGAGGCGTAGCCGAGAGTTTGTATATCGGATACAACACGGACACGAATACTGTAGATTGGTTATCAAACGTCTAGGTTAGTTCCTTTGTGTTTCACTAAAATTTTCAAAATTAAAGTGAATCTGCCCAAGAAAATCCATCTTAAAGTTTATGCAAATGAACACAGTTTTGTATCAGATTTACAACACTCTTCACGGTCGTGATTTCTGTTGTGTTTTCCTCATCAAGTATTCATGAGTTTGATAATATATTTATAAAATATTTGAGATATAACGCGTGCGCTGATTGGCTGGAAAAAGTATTTGAGATAAAACGCACTCAATGATTGGCTGGCTTTATATCAGTTGACAGAGACAGGCTCGGTCGAGGAACAAGACGATCGTTTTACATTTACGGTGTACAGTTATTATTATTATTGTTGTTGTTGTTGTTGTTGTTGTTGTTACAGTTTTAATAGTATATTTACGTAATCTTTTTTTTTTTAATTTGTTGTTATTTTTAGGCTACCAGTTTCTAGAATGAAACAAAGTCTACCTCATTCCATGTACAAAGTGAAGAACATCGTTAAGAGGTGAAGCATTGTCAAGCAGTATTCAGTATTCATGACGGCAGCCATGTTAGATTGACAGGAACAATACAATCGTTTTACATGAGAAAGAATTCAGTTCCCAAGAGCAAAGGGATTTTATTGATCTGCCATCTAACCACAGGCAGTCCAAGCTGTATTATAGGCGCCGGCACGTGATGTTACAAAACTTGCCTCAAGTTGGGGCAAAGGTGGGCGACCCAAGGATGAATTAGAAATTTTTGCACCACGTGACAACTGATGAAAGTCACATTTCCACCCTCAGTACATATGTATTGCATTTGTTTGGCTTTTTCAAGATGGCGGCCACGTAAAAATCCCTACTGTGGGGGCATTGAACAATTTCCCGAGGGTAGAAACCCCCCCCACCATGGGGCTTAACATTGATAGGGGGATTACCAATTAGTTGGTTACTTTGCATGGGTGGCTCCTATGCTCGTTTAGTTGCTATGCACGAGTGGTTGCTATGCATGTGTGTTTATCATTAGGTGCTCATTTTTTTTAAACATCCAGGATCAAAACACAACGCGAGCGCTTCATCAGCGAGAATCTTTCAGAGCGAAATGCGAAGCATAACTACGTGGATTGTTGTCAGAGTATCGCAGGGTATGGCTGTCGATTCTTTAAACTCAAGGTGAGCACAGGGATTCCATCTTAAGGCTTGTTTAGACGGTACGATTTTCACCTACATTTATCGTATACAACACGCTCGCGCCATCCTACAACTCGAGTCGCAGCGTGTAAATCAAGCCTACAACTCGCCTACGACAGACGCGACCGTTTTGTATACAATAGTTGTAGGCGAAAATCGTACCGTCTAAACAAGCCTTAAGAGTGAAGTCACTAAACCCGTGAAATAGTAATTAGACTAATACACATTAGGAGACTCAAATGGACTACTTTGACGATACGGCGGCCATCTTGCCACGGGGCAAAACAAAACAAAGATAACGGGAAATATATAGAGTTTCGTGTATTTGTCTTTCATTTATGGGTAAAGGTTGATCGATAAGGCCAAACAAAAAAATTTGTGTTTCCTGTTGCATGAGAAAAATAATTGGGGTTGGTAGGTCGGATTTTTTTACAGATATGACAGTGGTAATTACCTTACTGGGAACCCTGTGGTGCATTTGAGAATGGAAAAAATATTAGGGTCGGCAAAAATCTGCAAGGAAATTAGGGTCGGTCGCGCAACAGGAAACACACTTATTTTTGGTTTGGCCTAATCCGTCTTAATTCATCTTTTGTTGTATTCTCTTGTGGTGAGCTGTTGATATCAATCGTATAGTCATTAATGTAACAAAGCTTCATTTGCCTTCGTCCGTGAATCTATTTGAACAGGAATGTCAAGGGACGAACACCAGGAAGAATGCATACGTGAATCGTCTGTTTGGTATCAACCCAAACAAGGTTATTCTACTGGATGAGAAGACCAAGGTACGTGATCATGAAGATGATTAATAAAGTTATGGGGATGATTGTGGTAATAATGAGAGGATGGTGATGGAGATTAACGGGTGGTGATGGAGATGATAATGATAACGATGGTGATAGTGATGATGGTGATATCGATAATGATGACGATGATGATGACGATGGTGGTGATGATAACGATGTTGATGATAACGATGGTGATGAAGACGATGGTGGAGATGGTGGTGAAGGGGATGTTGATGAAGATGGTGGTGATGATGACGATGATGGTGAAGATGATGGTGATGAAGGTGATGTTGTTGATGATGATGATGGTGGTGATGATGACGATGATGGTGATGAAGGTGATGTTGATGATGATGGTGGTGATGATGACGATGATGGTGGAGATGATGGTGATGAAGGTGATGTTGATGATGATGATGGTGGTGATGATGACGATGATGGTGGAGATGAAGGTGATGATGACGATGATGGTGGTGGAGATGATGACGATAGTGGTGGAAATGATGATAATGATGGTAACGATGATGATTATTGTTATTATTATTATGATGATAATGGTAATGATGATGAGGGAGATGTATACCTATTATCTTGGAACGAATGTTTTAACATATTCTAATAATATACATCTCCCTTTGGCAGTCCATTATTGGTCTATGGCAGTTCAAGGACATCAAGAGATGGAATCCTACCAGTGATAACCTAAGACTACAATTTCACTTCACCAATCAGCAGTTCGAGTTTCTTTTGGATAACAAAAGGTACAATAACAACCTTACCCTACCCCCCTCTTCTCCTTGTAGTCACCATCATCACCACTACCACCATTATCGCCGTCACCATACATCTTTACATTATTTCATAATCACCATCATCATTATCATCATTACTGTAATCACCAACACCACCATTATCGCCGTCACCATACATCATTACATCATTACATCATTACATAATCAGCATCATCATTATCATCATTACTGGCATCATCAACACCACCATTATCACCACACATTATCAACATCATTACCACCATCATCACCATCATAGTATCATCATCACCATCACCATCATAGTATCATCATCATCACCATCACCATCATAGTATCATCATCATCACCATCACCATCGTAGTATCATCATCATCACCATCATAGTATCATAATCATCATCATCACCAATCAGTCTCATTGCCATCACCTCCACCATCATCACCCTCCCCACTCCTCCCAATGCACTGATGAGTGAAATTCCTTTTAGATCTAATGGCCCGTTTACACAGATGATTTTTTAAGTGATTCGAGGTGGGATTTTTGCGGCGATTTTGGTAAAGTTTTATTCCGGACACCAAGATTACCTGAACAAATGTCTCATAAGAAGCAAAGCGCAAGACAAAATTCTTTCATATTTTTAAAAATCGCCGCAAAAAATCGAACCTCAAATTGGCACAAAAACCTTGGGGCGTTAGACATTGACTACAGTAAAAACCCGCGAGTAAGAACCTACATTTTTAGAGTTAGCCTAAACAGGTTCTTGTTTAAATGGTAGTTAACACAATTTTAGGCTATCTAGGTTCTTAAATAGGTTCTTATTCCTGTATAAAAAAACAAATAAAATTCAGCTACAAGATAAAAATATGGTAATCAGCCTATTTTTCAATCAACCCCACCCCACCCCCATCAACAACACCATAGAACATTAGTTGATTTATCTGCACAGCAATGGCAAGCTCCTATTTTCCAAACAGGATTCTAACCCAGCTCTGCATCACTAAATGATGGTTTTTGAAAATAAGAATCTGTTTTTCATTTTCTAGGATAAATAGGTTCTTGTTTAAAGGGGGTATAAATGTCAAATTTGAGGCTAACAGGTTCTTAATTTTCAGGTTCTTACTCGCGGGATTTTACTGTATTGCATTTTGTTCTTTTAGTTATTACAAGGAAATCACAGAGTTGTTGTTCAACTGTACAAGATCTAACCTCGAGGTACGTATTACTACAGTTATGCAGTACCTGTTTTTCCGAAGCGTAGCTAGATCTCGACTATTGCTGGTTTGCAATCATTCGTATGAGAATGAAATAACAAAAGACATTGTGGCCATGTTGGATGATATAACGAAAGAGACCAATGACCAATCTTTTCTAAATTCATTCAACGTGGCGGCTGTGAAAACCATCACTATAAGGGGCAATGTACCATTTTCCCGCAAAATCCACACATGAATTTCTCCCTTCTCTAGTGCTTAGCCGGATCCCAAACGCTCGTCCTCATATGTGAGTAGATATACTTCTTGGTTCTCAACTGCACTTCCAGGATTTTTCTCCGGGTCCTCAAGTTTACCTCCCTTTCTCAAAGAAAAAAGCCTCATAAAATGTCATAATAATTTTGATCATCAATGAAAACTTATTTCATATGTCAGGCACTTGGTGAAAAAGACTTTTCTCCATGGAGCAAGTACGCAGAGGACACAGAAACATGGGGCCCTGTGGCCCTCGCTCATGAGACCGAGCACCAGATACCAGAAAACGCTAGAGACGACACAGAAAATGGTCCCATGGCTCGCTCCAGGGCCGTTTCTTGCATCAGTGCTCAACAGACGCGTAGAAGAACGTTCCAGAGGCATGTGTCTATAGACGAGAACTATTCCACTTCGGCACCTTTTCCTGGGTATAATTTAGGCCCTGGTGAAAGAGGACCTGTTGGGCCCCAGACGATTGCTCCTGTCTTGGCTGCTACAGGTATGTGGTATCGTTTGGTATTAAAGGTCCTGTCTTAGACGTTGAAACGTTTAGCTAAAAAGGCAGGGATCCCAACAGAGAATAAGGACTTTAAGATTTATTAAATCTACGACGGAGACGTCTACCGGAAGTGTAAATAACTTCACTTTTGGGTTTCGCGCCCTCAAAGTCTGTATTCCCTGTGGATGAGTTGACTTTACTGACAATGTTTTGAATGAAATCTCCAATGAACCCAAAGAGAAATTATTTACATTTCCGGTTGACGTCGCCGTCGTAGATTTTGCAAATCTTAAAGTCCCTAATATATGAGGTAGCCTGCGGAGTAGGCTAAGTCTACCGGGAAGAGTAGTAGTTGCGAGGTGCAAGCCGAAATTATATTTTTCGCTGCCGTCAATCAAAACTAATCTGTCGGTACCCTTCTATATTCTTGACTGACGGCAGTACAAACCAACTTCACACAAGTAAATTGACGTAAGCGTGTGATTGAAACAAAACTAAGTTTATAAAATGAGCGTGTATTAGAGTAGAGTACATTCAGTCAAACTGTTGAATAGTTAGATAAATGTATCTAACTTAGATAACTATTTAGTTGACGTCACCTAAAATAGTGAAAGCGCGCCAAATAGCCATGCTAATCCGGGGGGTTGTTTTACCAGAGAATGAGTGAATAGACATTCATTTGTATCATCGTTTCTCCCCCTGATCTCAATAGCGGTTTACTGAAAGCAGGATCAGAAATCAAACTTCTAATAATGAAATGAAATGAATCTTTGAATCTTGATAGGAACATTCTCTTTCGATTTCTGGAGTCGGTTTGCTTGTAGCTTGAAAATTTTGTTATGCTAATATAAAGATGGGCCTATAGTCTATTGTTTAGTCAAAAACATTTTTGAATGAATTTCACGCTTGTATAAATTTCTTTTATCTTTCAAGCGCGCAAAGCCAAACAGATCTCAAAAATACTCGTGAATTTATTTTTTGGAAAATTATGAAGTACAATAACCTAAAATGTAAAATTTCTTTATGATCTATAGTAACCTAAAATGACTAAGAAAATGTAGACCGAGCTAGCTGCGTGATTTCAGGGACCTTTTTTGTTCAAGCTTCTGCCAGTAGTTTTTGGCGCCTAAACTGTGACGATGTTAATTATCGAAGAACATACTTATTTCGTTTTTCTCGACGAGAATATAAAAGTAAGATGAGGCAAATCTAAGCGTAAAAATAATAGAAGAAATGTATGTTTTTTGGGTTAATTGGAGTATGAGTACTACTAGAAGTTTGTTGTCGATTTCAGAAGAAAAGCGCGGCAAAACCAAATTAAGACCTGTTACACGTTGAAAATTTTAGCTGAAACTTGCTTGCAATGGCGTTGCGAGTTTCACGGGGGTGTTACACGGCACAATTTCGTCCTGAAACTTGTTCCCGACACAAGTTTCGGTTGCACGAGTAGAAAGCACCTCCGTGAAACTTGTCTCACAACGCCGTTGCACACAAGTTTCGGCTTAAAGTTTCAACGCGTAACAGAGCCTTTACTAAGATTTCTTTGAGAAATCATTCGGAGAATCAGGGAGGTGGGAGTTATTCGTAAGCGTTAAAAGCATAAGATCATGATCTTTCTAATCATGTGGTGGCTCCTAAAAGAGCCGTTGTTTTGTGTTGTAAACAGTTTAGAACTGTTTACTTGCTGCTGGTGTACTTGGTGACAGCCTTGGTGCCTTCACTGACTGCGTGCTTGGCCAGCTCTCCAGGGAGAAGAAGACGAACAGCCGTCTGGATTTCCCGAGATGTGATGGTGGATTTCTTGTTGTAGTGAGCAAGACGGGAAGCTTCACCAGCGATGCGCTCGAAGACATCGTTGACAAAGGAGTTCATGATGCTCATGGCCTTGCTGGAGATACCAGTGTCAGGATGGACCTGCTTCATGACCTTGTAGATGTAGATGGCATAGGATTCCTTTCTCTTAGATCTTCTCTTCTTCTTGTCACCAAGAGCGGCCTTCTTGCCGGCTTTCTTTTCACCTTTCTTTCCAACAACAGGTTTAGGAGGCATGTTTCTCGAGTTTGTCGAATTCAGATATGAATATGATGTTGACTTCGGTGTATATTGTATTTATATCATTCTAAGCATGGATTTCTTAGTATGCGGATCGAAAGGATCTTTTTGTGATTGGTGGAATTTAGGTTATTCATAATCATACTGTCAAGACAATCAGTACAGCGAGCCTCTTAGAAAACATATGTTATAAGCTACTATCAAAGGTCATATGGAAATTTGACCGGGCATAGAAATAGTCTTTTGCTATTGGTGGATCCAGATCCTTATTGTGCAGAGATCGAAGTATAAAGTTTTGGCGCTTGCAAAGTGTTAGTGATCTGATTCTCGTATATCAAGCGAATATTTCAATCTATTATATCCAAAATGTCTGGTCGTGGTAAAGGAAAAGCAAAGGGCACCAAGTCCAAAACTCGATCATCCCGTGCAGGGCTTCAGTTCCCCGTCGGTCGTATCCATCGTCTTCTCCGCAAGGGAAAYTACGCTCAACGTGTTGGTGCTGGTGCTCCAGTCTACATGGCTGCAGTTCTCGAGTATCTGAGCGCTGAGATCCTCGAGTTGGCCGGTAACGCTGCCCGCGACAACAAGAAATCCAGAATCATCCCCCGTCATTTGCAGTTGGCAGTCAGAAACGACGAGGAGTTGAACAAGCTTCTTGGTGGAGTCACCATTGCTCAAGGTGGTGTTCTTCCCAACATCCAAGCTGTTCTTCTTCCCAAGAAGGCCGAAAAGAAAAGCTCGTAAACAGTTCTAAACTGTTTGCAAAACAACGGCTCTTTTAGGAGCCACCACATGATAACAAAGATCATGATCTTATGCTTATTAAGATAATATTGTCTTATGGTATAGTAACTAGTTTAGGCGCCAAAATTTCCGTACTTTATTGATATTAACAAATAACGTTTTACGAACAAAACTTATCAATTTTCATACGTTGTAGCCATAAATTCTAAAAATGTTTTGCTATTCTGACTGTTTTTTTTTTACCTTGAAAGTCAATCGTAAAGTAAGACCGTTTCAGCTCCTATAACTTTCAGTATCGTAGCGTGACATTTTCTCACATTTTCTTACCAAAACTGGTTTCTTACTGTACGTGGCCTAAGGTGACTGCCTACTTTTGGAAAAAATATTAAACTTTTTCTTAAACTTAGATTTTTCGAATTGAAATTTAATGCTGATTATAAATCTGGAAATCTGAAAAATTGGGTGTCCCGAGCTTGTTTTCGAGATAATCAGCATTTAATGGGAGCCTACGCGCGAGCTTTTGGAGCAAAAATTGCTCCACAGGAAGTGATTAGAAAAAAAATTAAGATCCATAAGATAATAGTTATTTGCAGACTCTCTGATTGCACAAATGAAGGCTAGTCAATCATTCTACAATAATACGTGGATATTTTCGACAAAAAGACAAAGAGATACATTGATTTGTCATATTTTGTAGTTTTGGTGCTCTTAAAAAGTCTCATAAAGTCGAACAAAATTCCCTGCAAAAAATTTTTTTTTTCATTTTTTCTAAAATGTTGATATAACCTAGATGTTTAAGGAGTTTATTCAAATAAGCTATTAAAAATAGTGAGTCCCGTGCAAAATTTGAGGGTTTTGCCCTGTTGAAGCTCAAAACGTATGGCTGTTCAATAAAAATCTTATAGATTTTTCAGCGGTTTTTGAGCGCGCGCGCACATCGTGGGCTCAAAGTAGGCATTCACCTTAAACGGCCGGTCATCGGAAAATGTTGACGCTTATCAGGTCAACTCTTTTGATTTTTCATCTTCGTACTTTATGTTTATTTCAAATTGGCTTCAATTTCGTTTTGTGATTTTACGAAACGTGGGTTACTTCGTATGCGATTTATCTTTCATATCTTGCTCCTTGGGCTTCCTGTGGCGAGGACAAAATCTCCGTCCCACTCCACCTACTCTTTCGTTCCTAGTTCTTCTCTGCCATAAAATTATAAAATTAAAACAGGGATCCCAACAGAGAATATATGGGGTAGCCTGAGAAGGCTATGTTTTATACTGACAGTGTATCTATTCTGCGTATTTACGTCTGATATCATTTAATACGCTTTTTCTTCAGCTTCATCTATATCTCCCTTGAGTGGTTTATCACTCCAGAGTACCCATCATTCATTGCAATCTTCAGATGAGCTTCAGATTGGCTCCCTACAAAGCACGCCAGCTACGTCACTTCGTGGTATGTCCATGACATCAAAGGGTTCATGGGATGCTAGTACTGGTGTTGGTCGACCTAAGCGTGACAGTGTCTCCAGTAAGTAAGATCCCCGCAATGGATTTATGGGAACTAATACGTTGCTATGGAAACTTGAAGATGAACTAGCCACCTTAACGATTGCCAACTTTATTGGTCATACCCAGACCCTACGATTTTCAGTGACATAAGTATGGTCTGGGTACGACGTTGCAGCTCGGCGAGGGAGAGAGTCGGGAGAGACCTTCAGAGGACTGGAATCTGCATTTTGCTTGGTTTATTTGACTCACTGCGATTTATTTATTTTCCATTGCAGGAGAAAGTGAAGGAAGCGTCGAAAGCTCCCCAACAGAACTTCAGAACTTCCTAGACCCAAACCTCTCCCTAAAATCCAACGACATAGTTAACCCATCAGAACCACCTCGACATCGCTACCTGTCCACAGGAAGCCCAAACACGTCAATGGGCTCTCCCTCTCCAAGTTACTCAACAAAAGACCCCAGCCCTACACCCAGGGGAGGCGTTTGTGCTGAAATGAACTTTGACGCAGAGAATTTTAATAGGATATTTGGGTTGAGCCCGCGGGGTCAGCTGCTGACCTGTCATTGTCCACCAGATCCTCAAATGCCTGGGTTCGACAGGAGAAACTTTACGTATGTGTAAAATATGCTTTTGGGGGAAGAATATTATTATTATGGGGGAGGGGAGGGAGGGGTGTTGTGTGCATGGTGCTCTAATGTCTGGGTTTGATTGTGGGCAAAATTTTAAGACAATTTTATTTGTTCTTACTCAGGGTTTTCCAGCTGCTTGAACATCCTAAAGAACTTGCGCGACAAATAACAGCCATTGATCACGGTAAGTTGTACCAATGAAACTATGAGGATGTTAAAGAATAATGAATGAACATGAAAGTGATGGATAATGTTAGTAATGATGATGATGATGATCCGTGACGATAGTGGTGGTGGTGTTGATGATGATGACGGTGGTGATGATGGTGGTGGTGGTGGTATTGATGACGATGATGATCACACATCACGATGATAATTCCACTGTTGAAGGTAACAGTGGTTGAAATCGTGAAGATGTGTAAGGAGGCTGATAACGATATCTTGCAAGCAATGGTGATAATTATGATTATGAGTACAATGAACATATCAAAAAAAGTCAAGAAGAAAAATATTCTCCTAAACCATTTCCAGAATATTTCTGCGCAGTCACTGCTGAGGACATTCAAAAGAAAGTTGCCATGGGAACAGGGAAGAAGAGACACCCTGAGCACGAACATAGACTATTGGTGGAACGGGTTGCAGATAGATTTAACCAGGTAAGATGGAGGTATTTGTGGAAGCATGTACAAAAGTGGACGTCTTCGTCCTGAGATTTTTAATATTATTATTTCAGTTGACCGCGTGGGTTGTTGCCAGTATTCTCACCGAAGAAAGTCCTGAAAAACGAGCAACGATATTTATCAACTTCATCGAAACTGCCAAGGTAACAGCATCATCCACTATTAAAGTTTTATCTTTTCTTTTGTTGGTAAAGAGGCTTTGCACCATCACGTGATGGCAGCCATGACAGGAGGCAGGAACAACAGTCTTTTCCCCCTAAGACTCTGAATAATTTATCATGTATGATGTCAATAAGCCCAGTTTAGCCAAAGACAACCTATTCTATACTCCTTATAAGTACGTATAAGTACTAACGGATTGGTCAGAAGCTTCAAATATTCCTGCTCCTGTCATGGATGCCATCACGTGATGGTGCAAAACCAGTATTCCTGTGTTGCGTCAATGGAGGGAGACTGAGAAGAGTAAACTTCACGATTTTACCTGATCATCTGTCATTTTAAAACAAAATATTTCGTCTTTTTCTTCAGCAATGCCTCGAATTTAGAAATTTCAATGCAGTAATGGCCATTGTGGCTGCTCTTGGTTCTGCACCAATTCGACGACTCGGGAGAACAAAAGAGGTAGAATACTTGAATAAAATAGCTTAAAAAACTACAGTAATAACTTATCTTGCCGAGGTTGAAAGGAACACTGGTAACGATATCGTGGTGCAAAGGATTGTGGGATGGAATGATGGAATCCTTGAGACCCTTTCTGAGATAGTGAACATGATGCATTGTGGTCTAGTTTGGGTACGAACATCTTTTGTTCATCATGCCTTATATGGTATTGTGAGAGTGAACATGATGCATTGTGGTCTAGTTTGGGTACGAACATCTTTTGTTCATCATGCCTTATTATATGGTGTTGTGAGAGTGAACATGGTGCATTGTGGTCTAGCTTGAGTACGAACATCTTTTGTTCATCATATCTTATATGGTATTGTGAGAGTGAACATGGTGCATTGTGGTCTAGCTTGAGTACGAACATCTTTTGTTCATCATATCTTATATGGTATTGTACGAGTGAACATGATGCATTGTGGTCTAGCTTGAGTACGAACATCTTTTGTTCATCATATCTTATATGGTATTGTGAGAGTGAACATGGTACATTGTGGTCTAGGTTGGGTACGAACATCTTTTGTTCTTCATACGGCCTTATATGGCGTTGTCTGTACTTAACTTGGACCACAATGCATTTTGTCTATCGAACTCAGAATAGCCCGAGGTGGCTAACAGTCTAGCTTTGAACTTTAAAATGACAGACACAAAATAATGCTAGGATAATATGGGGAATACATGGTGAAGCCAAAATATTACTGGGCTACCTGTGGTGGTGGTACGTTAGCTTATAATGTATTCTTATTATTATCTTTTCAACAAGTTTGTACCAAAAGAGTTTCTAGAACAGTTTTCTAAGATTGAGATGCTGATGGACGCCAAGGTAAGTCTAATTCGGTCTTTTGTTTTGTACAAGGTACATTACCTGGTGGGGTTCCTGTGGTAAAGAAAGTAAATAGTTGAGTTCCCTGTGGTTAAGAGAAAAGTAATGGTGTTAATCAAGTATTTTTAAAGCTTTCAGAAGAACAATGTGTTGTTTTCCCTTTCTAGGATAACTACAAGAGATATCGTTCAACTCTTCGGTCATCTCCGACTCCCACAATCCCTTACTTTGGTAAGTTGAATATACTTTTCTCTTATTAGTTGGTTTTTATTGACTGTCACACGGCACGGTCATTGAGGCTGCTGCTCATCCAATCACGATGCCTATGACGCAATACCAAGCTAACACAGCGTATACACTCTAACCTCCCAAATACTTGGTTATCAAGATCTGGGCCCGGTTCTACAAAGGGTGGATAGCGCTAACCGAGGGATAAATCTTATCCAGTGGATAAATTTATTGGATAATAGTATCGACTTATCGCTTTGTTACAGGGATCTACATGAAGGATTTAACATTCATAGCAGAGGGAAATGCAGACTTCCTGAAAGGAGGACTGGTGAATCTAAACAAGAGAAGACTGGTATGTGAAACAATGATACCGCGCAACCTTGCCTTTTCTGAGTTTATAAGGAGTCTGGTAACTACCTCATGTCGCAGAGGATTGTGGGACTGAATCGAGGGATGCAAAATATTAATTGCGGGGTTTTTTATTTCGTCTCTTAATTCAGTTCCACTATGGTGTCTTCTTTTGGACATCGGAAACGAAATTTTATGGTGACTGAGCTGATGTTGAAATATTCTTATTCTTATTCTTATTCTTGAATATTCTTAACAGATTTACTTAGTAGTCAACGACATTAGAAAATTCCAGAAGAAATCTTATAATTTCCAAGAGGTCAGTTGCGATTGTTGGTGAACTGTGAAGGGAGTTCTTATCGTTTGTTTTTCTATCCTTCCTATTTTGTGTCTTTATTCCCCTTTACTTTGTCTCTGTCTGTCTGTCTGTCTGTTATTTACTATCTGTCTGTATGTTAGGTATCCCTAATCTTCCTGTCTTGTCCTGACTTGTCTTGTCTTATCCTTCCTGTCCTGTCGGTCTGTCTGTCTGTTATTTACTATCTGTCTGTATGTTAGGTATCCCTAATCTTCCTGTCTTGTCCTGACTTGTCTTGTCTTATCCTTTCTGTCCT